CGGGGACGGGCGGTCGCTAGGTTCGTCCTCCGGCGGCGCAGGGCGCGGCCGTTAACGGCAGTGCCTGGGGAAGGTCTGCGAGGGGGCCTCGGCCCCGCCGGAGCCGTTCGCCCAACTGCCGGGAGCGCGCCGGGCCGCAGGGATCCCAGGGGCTGCCCCGAGCCACGACAAAGGCCCTGCCTTAACAACTGGTCTTCTTGCTTTCTAGCTTCTCAAGGGAGTTTTGAATGTCTTGACAAGTCTTTATGGTTCCCAACAAATTTTTGTAGCTCCAGACGCAACTTTCAAAACATACATTGCAGAAAGCTGGACGTTGGTTTTAGCTCTGACATCTGGTGGGAAATAGCAGTCATTAAGACAACTCAGTACTCCCCTCAGTAATAGTGCTATGCTAGTTACAATGCTCAAGAGTTATAAAAATTCGTAACTTGAAAAAGTTCTGCATTTAAGGAATTAGTTCAACTTCAGAAAGAGTTACCTTCATTATAATTCAAAAGACTGAGTTGAATTGATACCTCCTTGCCTCCTGGCATCTGGGATTGTTTGTGATTCTGTCATCAACGCTGCTAGCCTGCAGTTAGAAGACATACTTTAGATGGTCCGACCACATTATTTAAGGATATTGGAGCGCATTTTTCTTGTAAGATGTATGGGAAAAGTGGAGATTCTGAGAAAAATAGGAAAGTTATGTCAGCTATGGCAACACATGAAGGTGTGAGCTACCTAGTCACAAAAAAGTTGTTGCCTAACCTTCAGTATGTGAGAGTTATCATCAGCTCTTACTAACTTGTCTGTGAGTGTGTGCAGAAACCCACGCAGGAGTGGGCTCTCCCCTCCCAGGGTTCAGCAAACATATGCCTGGCATTTTATGCTGCTGTTTGTACAGGGTCACCTGGATTTAGTCAGATCCTATGGGAGTATTGCTACTGAAGTCCGAGAGAAGAGGGGCCACCTATTGCTCTTCAGGTTGGGACAGATTTTGCATAGACAAGACAGCTGGGTGAATTTATGCAATAAAGTCATCCCAGCTAATGATCAGAATCAATACAGTCACATCTAGAAAAGGAGCAGAGAGAAGTGCTTTGTATTTTTTGCCGCTAAGTAAAACAACCAATGCAACTGATTTAATTAACAAAACACATCTTTTGTTTTTTGACAAAACAAACATTTGGAAGTTTTAAGTTTTTGATTTTTATTTTTTTTTTTGAAAGCAAAGATGAAAAAGGCCCTGATTTGCTTGGTTGGGAGTCTCTCTGGTCCCTGAGGAGTGCTGTCAGTCAGTAAGAAACATCTCTCTGCCTGAGAAGACACCTCTGGGTTACCAGCTATTATGCTGTAGTGGGTGGTCAGTTGGTGTCCTGGGTGGCCAGTTAGTGGCCCAAGGAGAGAAGAAGGCAGTTCTAACTGGCCACTGGAAATACTACCATGTGCTGGGTGGAACCAGCCTAGGGCTGTCGCTGAGCTCAAGCTAATGAGCAGCTTTATGGGAACAAGATGCTCAGAAACTCAGCTGGCTCTCAGAGGAGCTGCTTCCTGCTGTGCCGGGGCTATTGCCCCTTAACAGGAAACCAACCTGTTTGTGGAGAGGAGCAGAGCTGCTGCCTTTGTGTGGCATGGTGTCCGAGAAACAAACTTTGAGACTCATCTCCCTCCCCAGCCTCGTGGCCTCTCCCAATTACTGTGTCCTTTACCTCACCCTTCTTGAGAGCCCTTTCCATATGTCTCATACCTGCTGTCTTTAAACGTCATTCCAGTATTCCCTGAAGGATGCCCTATAGCACCTGTCACTGTCCAGGATATTCTTCCTTCTCGTTCTATTGAAGAACTTAAAACTGGTAGTAGAGATCCAGCTTCCAAATAACCAGAGGGAAAAACTAGTTTCAAGCCTCAACTGTTACCACTGCAGGGTTATCTGTGATGCACTATAGTTAGTGCTACTTGTTTTTCATAAATACTAGTTGGAGCAGGGCAGGAATCCAGATGTCATCTCTCCCAGGTAAGACTTGTGATCATCAGGCCAGATAAGAGCATGTCTCACTCAAGAAATAGTTATTTGATACAAAATGGATCAGTTGCAGTGGGAAGAAATTGAGGGAGATCTGTTCTAGTAGGGCTAGAACACTTGCTTGAGGTGTGACACTAGTTCTTCTCTGCTCATATCCATGTACTGCCCAACTAAAATATTCCATTAGAATCTGATTTAATGGAACAAATACTTTTTCCTTTGAATTACAGGGAAATTTGATAGAGATCTGAAGGGAATGATAAAGCAATATTAAATAGTTTCAATAGCATAAAGAGAAATAGCACATGGAACCTGGTGATGTGAAGAAACTTGTTACACATCGGGTGGGGTGCCTTCAGGGGCAGGAGCCACCCCTTCCTCTGTAGTATCTCATGAAGTACAAAAGGCAGATCTCAAAGATGGTATGGGCTACTTAACTAGGCTGACCAGATGAAGTTAGCAAGCACTGTAATGTGTTGACAGAGGGAACAGGAGAGCATTGTATCTGCCATTCCAAAGATGCCAGAAATTAGTGGAAAAATACAGGTGTCAGAGGCAAACTAACAGAGCTCTATACTCTTTGAGGGCTACAGAAATTCTGTATTTAAACATAAAGCTGAGACAAAGCCAGTATATGCTCTGAGCGGAGCATCTTGACTAAAAATGTCTGTGCAATCACACATGAACAGCTACTACAACTGGCCCTGCCAGTCTCATGTTTGTGCACAGTGACATCTTGTTAGCTGTACATTCAGTTTAACTGCTGAACTAAATTGCTTATTCAGTCAGAATCTTAAGGCTTAAATGTGATTTGCAAAAGTTGCTGTAAGAGTTGAAATCAGGAAAATATTAAATACAGAAGTTAGGCATGTATGTATATAGATTCAGCTATACAGATGTAAAATTTGCTGATGGCCTCTGCCCTGAAATAAGAAAATGAAAAGATTTCTTGATAGGAGGAGCGTGGGTGTACTCACACATCTTTGCTTGTTTTAAGCGAGAAGACTTCTTAGTGACAGAAAGTTAATTGAGTAACATTCAAGCCAAACTTACTAGGCTTTTTGGTCAGTTTTACTGAACCACACTGCAACTGCATCTCATTCTGGCTCCCTCACTGCAGAAGAAAATTTGCAATTGATTTAGACAGTAGAATTTTAACCTTTTTAATGATACCCTAGCAGAAGGTAAAACAGCAACTCAGACTGCTGAGAAAGACAAACAAGAACAGTAAACAGCTGATGAACCGTGAGTTTAGAATGACCAGTGACACACAGCAGCTCGTTCACAAACATCTCACTGCATCCGTTCATCAGCTAGACACAGACCTATGGTCACCCACGCCTCGCGCCCTTACTGATGCGAGCCATAACCCCTGGGCTGGCCGCTGCCCATCCTGGGCGGTTAGCACTGCCCACTGCTAACGCGCTCTCCAGTGGGCCCTCTTGAGGGTGGGCAAGGAGGACGCTGAACACTAGTCGTGTGTGACAGAGCACAGGGCCGCACTGCTGCAGTGCAGTCTGTCTGGGAGTAGGATTGGTTTATGCTAGTTGGATACTTTAACATGACAAGAAATCAACACTCCTTTGACTGATCGCTGAGTACTTTTCATTGGAGCCATAGGCAGGTGTTTCAGGAACTTAGAACAACCCTGTTGCCCTTCCCCTCTTCTCTCCCAAACTTCTCTCCCAGACATTTAGGAAGTCATCCCGTGAGATGGGAAGAGAAGGGGAGCAGCTGTTAGCCTTGCCAGGGCCGTGTCCCTGCAGCAGCTGTGGTGGAGTCCTCCTTGTGCCACCAGTAGGGTCAGGAGCAGGCTGACCTCAGCAGCGGGAGAACGTGAGTCAGGTGAGAGGGTGTCCTGCTCGTCAGGCCTGTTTGTCTGCTGGACAGAAGAGTGGACAGTGACCAGTGCAGGAGCCTCAGCAGGGGAACATATTTTGTGGACCAGTCAGCTATGGCTGCTGTCTTCCTAAGGATGGCAACAGTCCCCCTGTCTTTGCCATTTAGTGATCTCACATTGTCATCACCCTGCATTCCTGTCCCACCTGCTCATTACAGTACTGTTACACGTTTAGCTTGTCTTACCTTGCTTGGTTGAAGGGGTTCCTTTAATGTCACTCAGTCACAGCCTTTGCAGCACACTACTTTTTTCCATAGATTATTTTTTCCACTCGGTACTAGTGAGACTTTAAAGCAGTCATCAGTTTGGACATCAAAAGCAAGTGCAGTAGATGATGGAGGAAAGGTGGTGGACAAGTCTGAGCACCCTCACTCCAGAGAAAAGGAACCAGGGAGGAATTTGTCTGTGCATACACCCAGAGGGATGGTCTGAAGAGGACAAGGATCAACTACTCCTGTTGGTCAAGAGTCAGGCTGTTAATAGGTTTAAGCTGCAGAAGGAAAACTCCAGTCTGAAAATTAAGAAAATTATATAACTGGAGGAAAAGTTAGACAGTGGAACCTGTTGCCAAGACAGAGGTTGTGAAACTGGAGATATTCGAGGCTAGGCTAGACACCCGTCCATCAGGGATGGCTTTGGAATAACTGAGTAAAGCCAATGAACAATGCAAACAGCTTGACTAGATGACCCAGTAACAGTCCCTTCCAATCCAAATATGGGCTTCTGAAATGTAGCTGGCAGCTTGTCCACTTCCAGCACAGTTGTGATGGGTTACTGCCAGATGTACCAGATGTACCATCAGTACCTTATGCTAAAGCCAGTGATGTATAAGATTGTAGATGAAGCCAGCACCTTTAATAGCAGGTTTTTTCCTACTAGGTTCACCTCGCCCTTAATCCATGTGAAGACCTGTTGGAAACGCCTTCTAGAAACATAACCGTTTTCAGTCTCCTAATAAATTCTCCTGTGTCCAAGAAGAGCCTGTCCAAATGAGCAAGACATCCCAACAGAACACCGCTACAGATGCGAACGGAGTAAGCGTGATTCACACCCAAGCACACACCAGTGGTTTGCAGCAGGTTCCCCAGCTGGTGCCCGTTAGTCCTGGTGGAGGAGGCAAAGCTGTGCCTCCCAGCAAGCAGGGAAAGAAAAATTCCTTTGTGGATAGAAACAGTGATGAGTATCGTCAGCGCAGAGAGCGAAACAACATGGCAGTGAAAAAGAGCCGGTTAAAAAGCAAGCAGAAAGCACAAGACACGCTGCAAAGGGTAAACCAGCTCAAAGAAGAAAATGAACGTTTAGAGGCAAAAATTAAGCTCCTGACCAAGGAACTGAGCGTACTGAAAGACTTGTTCCTTGAGCATGCGCACAATCTTGCAGACAATGTGCAACCTGTTGGCACTGAAACCACCACAACAAATCCAGAAAACAACGGACAGTAACACTGCTGCAGCCTTATGAACTGAACACTCGGGTGCGGATTGTCTGCAACACCCATGCAGCAACCAAGCAAAAACTCAACTATCGTTTTGTGGAGATTTTCTTCTTTTTAGGTTTAACACTGAAAATTTGATACAATTAGACCAGAAACTGCTTAGGGTGTTTGTTTTAAATATTTTTCTCCTCTACAAGATTTATCTAATTAATGCAGATCTAAATTCATAGTCAACAAGGAGCTTAGTATTGGAGAAATAGCATTTTTCACAGAAATGTTCACTTACCTTCTTACCGTTTGCACAATGGGAGGAATCCAGCAGGAAGGTTCACTGTAGTATCAGAAACTCGTAATTGGATAAAATGTCTTTTAAAATACCTTTTAGTGTAATTAAGCCCTTTGTTTTCTCTATTACGTATTACAAAAACTGCAAAGGCTGTGGAGGGTGTTTGCTTTCCTATTTGGTGGACTACTTTAAATCTGTAGAGCAAGTCCTATAAAGCACCACTTAGGTCTTTCCTGTCCAGTTATCGTTAACGGGGAGGGTGTAGTAATATTGAGCTGGGATGCTTACTGATGTTTTCTAGAAAAATAGCAATATAGTATGATGATACATATAGGCAGTTGGCTTCCAAACAGCAAATGAGTCTGAAGCATCATGTACAAAAGGTTAAGCAGCACATTGACAAAGCCTTTTAAGCTGTGTTCACATTGCTCACATAGTGACTGGGGCCTTATGAGAACAAGATACTGTTTTTTAGAAAATGTCAAAATGCTACCAAAAAACTGTGCTCTGCAAAATTGCATTCTTGCTGGGGTGCAGGTATCAGGGAGAACAAAAGCTGCAGCTTGGCTAAGCAGTGAAAGGGGTGTTCAGCCAGAATGTATGAATCAGTGCTCGTTGACATTAATCTCCATTTTCACGGCTGTTCAGATTTGCAATCAAGATCTTACAGAAATTCACAGTGATTTTAAAAATTAACGGTCCTAGTTCGAATAACTGATTCAGTGGAATTTCTACAGCCATCATACAGTTGTGTGAAGGAGTATCTTTTGGTCTTGTTTTATTTTCATAAAACTTTAGCAACTTTTTTAAATGCTAGTGCTAAGCCTTTGCCATGATCCATAATGCAGTGGTATGTACGATATTGAGGATTTAAACAATAAAAGTAAAGCAGGAACTTTGATGTAACCTTAATTTATTTTCATTTTTAAATATTTCATTGATGGTATGGTTGTGTTACATTTAACCTGTGTGTCTGGCTAGTGGATTATTACACTGTCTTAATTTCCTTCCTACACTACCTTTTTCCATAGATTATTTTTTTGTAGGATGCTTGTTTGCCTTGTATCTGTACTTAGGAAGAACTTGGGTATTATCTCTATGAAGATGCTGTTAGAAAATGAAAGCTTGAAAAGTTCTTTTTGAAGTTAAACTTTTAATACATGCAGAAAACTTTTATGGATTGTTTTGAATTATGGTAGTCTTTTTACAAAGATATGTTTTTTGGTTCTAGCTGCAGCTTAAGTAGGTAGGATTGAAGTATCAGAAGCTAATAAAAAACTTTTGCTTCTAGTGCTGGAGTCATTTTTCCTGTCCCTTTTCTATTTCAAATGCAGAGGTGCCCACCTCAAGCAGCTGTCTGAGAAATCAGTGCAAGTCTCCATTCCTGTCTTCCACTCAGGTTTTACTCAGTGAAAAGAATCTCATTTTGGCTGAATTCCTGTTTTAACAAAAAAGAAACCCCAACGGTTTTGAAAGAACCTGAAAGCATCTCATTTGTTAACTCTGCACCTACTCCGGGGCAAAAGGCAGGAGCTGGTCTCTTCCCTGGTTGTCTGCTCTGTGAACGGGGACTCTGTGGCCCTGTTGTCCTGCAGCTGGTTTGACAGGCTGATGTGGGGTCCTCCCCTAATAACTGGCACAGGGGCTCCAAATCTGGTATTTGATTCTGATCTTGGTGAAAATGACTTCTTAAATATTTGAGTGGGAGCAATGCCCTTTCTGATGCTCTGGAGGGTGACTTCTCCACCTGTTACTCCTGACAGCTCTGATTCCACTTCCTTCTTATTTAAAACAAAACCACTGAGTTATGAAAAGTCATTTGCACAATGCCATCTCTGCCTTAGCAGTCTGCACATGCTTGCTTTGCCTAGGGAAGCACGTAGGCTGTGTGCAGCACATCACCTTGATATGTGAAGCCATAGACCCAAGGTTAAAACAAATTACTATTTTAAATTAGCCTCAGCGAGAGTGATTGCAAGAAAGGTGTTAAATCCACTATTCTAAGCCCCTTCCTGCCAAAACAGCTGTCTCAAACCAAGGAGCGAAGGCAGGAGTGAGGCTTTCCCTCTCTTTGCCCCAAGGTGGAGCAGCTCAGGCTGTGCGACAGCCTAATGCCTCAATCTTACCCCTCCACTGCAAGGCACAGGACACCCATGCCTAGGTGACTTGGACGATTCTCTTCTTCCTAAAGAAAGGCTGGAATAAATACACATCTACACAAGAAAATTTCAGTGTAGGCCTACAGAAGTTAAGGTTTTTCTTCTGACACATTTTTCTTAACAACTGTAGTCTGTGACAGAATACAGTGCCTGTCACTACAAGGGGTGTTACAGCACTGTACATTTCAGCAGGAAACCTTACTCCCATTTTCTCACTGTATACTAAGAGAAGAGGTCTACTCCAGCCTCCACGAGCACTAGGAGGCTCTACCACTTTAATACCCTGTAGCTGCAGCAGCGTCCTTGGCGTGGCAGATAAATCCAGAGTGCATCCAAGCCCAGGGAGCTGAAGCAATTTAAATACATCAGTTCAGAAGTGCTTGGACCTTTCTGAACACACAAACTTGCTCAACATTACACACTTTCTGTTATTTTGGTGCCACTCTATTAGTCTGTTTGCACCAGGGGGGAAACTCATTTGGGAAAACATGATCGCAACAGCCTGAAATATCCTAATGTTGTCAAAAAGAAACTTTGACGTTAACCTGTATTTTTCTCCCACTAACCTATTTTATGTGTATTAAATATCACTTTGCATTTTCTTAAAGGCCTATTCCCCCCCCCCCCGCTAATTTAGGAAAACGTTTTACTTTTTGCTTACGTGGATAGAAATTATAATTACAGAACAGACTTCTAGAAGGAAGGATGAAATTTATATTCACCAAGTTCATGGGCTGGATTATGAAGTAAAATGGGAAATGGTGCACCATCCCAGACCAAAACGCATCCATGTCTCGGGCAAGCAAAACAACAGAGAAGCTGGTTACGTGAGCAAGTGCTTTCCCCCCAGAACTCGCGGTAGGGTTTGTTCGCTGGTACGTGTCGAAGCAGAACCAGTTCTGTCTCCTGCAGCACACCAGATTGCTCGACCTGTTCTGCAGCAGCAGAGCCCAGTATTTGCCAAGATTAATCACAGGCAGGGAAAGGCCTATTAACTAAACTGGGGTTACGGCTTAGTTGAAACAATTCCAAAACTCTCTTTTTTAAAAAATCTGTGAAGTGTTACTTTAAAATAGTAACTGCTGTTGAACCCAAGCAACAGCAGGTTTCGGAGTGCCCAAAGCAGTGAGCGATCCCATGGGTGTGTTCAGAGCACGCCACAGGGAAGGACTTGGACACGGAGGGAACGAGGCTGAGGCCATGAGCACCGTCGTGCATGGAAAAAACCTCCCAAGTTTTAGGGGGAGATGAGTCTGGAGCAGTGCCAGTGTAGTTACTGTGTTCTTGTATCTGCAAAGCCTGAGTCCTCTGCACAAGTACTACACTGCAAAGGTACAAGACTTGCAGTCACCACACACGGGAGCACTAAGTGCAGCTGCACGTACAAGCTGCTGATCTCTCGCCCTCCCCTCTTCATGCCTTCCCCTTCACAGTTGAGACCTCCTGCACTTACCTCTTACAAACAAATAATGAGCAACCTTTAAAAAACATGTAAAGAGGCTAGTTTTTTAATAAAGTGACATTAAACATAAGGAGTGAAGTCCCCTGGATTATTTCACAATGTGTTTCTTTAGTCTTCAACATGCAGCTTCCTGTTTAGCAATGGGTCACCAAGCTGTTATGAATAAAGAGCAGGTTCTCGTCACACAGATCAACCCAATTAACCAAAGGAGCTCTCTGTTAGAGCAACACATTTGAGAATTTTTAAGGAAATTATTTCAGCCCTAAATCCAGTCCCAGGTGGGGATCCAAAAGACAGCACCACAGTGATTTTTGACACCACCCCTGCCCCTGTTGTGCTGCATGCCCCATGTAAGACAGGCGCTTGCAGACACCCAGAAGCTCACCGTTGGTCCCGCTGCCCGCATGCCAGCTCCAGGACGTGAGGAACAGAACTGAGACCATCAAGTCAGTCAATCCCTGCACAGCGGGAAAATCCTCACTGGACAAGCGGCAAGACCCAGAAAGGCCCTGACATCCTCCTGTGACTTCAGTTCCCCCTGACACGGCAGAGGGATGTTCTGAAGTGGCTTTGCAGTCCAACTGTGCAACGGAGCCTGAGGACCGAACAGGAGTTTTGATGTGTTCATAAAGTGAGCACGATTATTTTTATGTAGTTACAGTAACCAGTGCTACTTTATGATGCAAGAAATGTATTCTCCTGAAGGTTGATGAACACCTACAGTAAAGAAAGGCTTCTCTGGGTAATTTAAAACCTGCACGAATGGAAAATCATTTATGATCATTATTAATAAGTCTGTGGTGTATCCAAATAAAATTTACATGATTTCATTCTGAACTGACTAACACTGGACAGTTAAAAATAACTATCATTCTGCACAGCATATGCTGCTGAATGATCTCAAGCCCTGCGGCAAAGATACTCCCTTGCAGTTTCTAAGGCTTGTGAATACCACAGCAATCTACACTTTTAAGGAACAAATAAATGGACAAATCTAATAAGCATCAGGCTGTGTGTGAAGGATCACTACACCCACTACCCAGAGCAGAAAAATCTGGCTAATGAAGGGTCAAAGTTTCCAGAGCACAAACTGGTAGAAAGGTCAGATAAAGAAGCAGGAATGGGAGCAGAAGAGCATAATGATCACAAAATTGTGAGCATAAATGATGCCAAGGATTATTTTAATAAAAATTTGATTCTGCTTACTCCATTGATACTGAAATAAGATTCGTAAGAAAAATAAGTGTCGTTATGTCCACTGAGAACAGCTGATTTTTCTTCCGTGTTTTTTGCAGTACTTGTGATGAAGTTTAAAAAAGGACTTAGATTGTTACAATTGTTGTCAGCATTCAGATAATCCATTTGGTTAAAGAGTCCCAATCATCAAAACTCACATTTAATTGCAAGATATGTCTGAGCTGAGATTTGGCAGACGTATAAGCCCCACTGACAATGCAGCAGGGTTATTCAGGTTGCACTTGGTAAACTGCTGACTGCAAGCAGCAACATTTGAGTTACCTGGATATCACGGGCTGAAGCCTTCTAACTCCATTTTTAATGAATGAATCATTCCAACTAATAGCCTGCCTGCCTCTCTTGCTATTAAGAATTGCATGCATTTTATTTTATATGCTGCAGCATTAAATCAGAACGGTGACTGATTAGTGTGACACGAAGTATTGTCTTGAAGTTTACTGCTTTTGGCTGGAGAGGCAGTCAAATGACTTGGCACTGCTTTGGCCTTCTGCCATGAAAGCCTCTATTTCTTCAACAGTACGTGGGACACACGTTAGCAGCTCCATTCCGCTGGCTGTCACTGCGATGTCGTCCTCGATCCGGACCTGTTACAGAGAACACGCGGTTACCAAGGAATTGCAGCTGGGGATGAGAAGCACGTCAGGCAGGGACAGCAGCAGGAGCACAAGGCATGACTTCAGCCTGTGGTGCTGATGCGACACCAGGCAGAGCAACACGCTGCAAGCACTGGAATCACCCACCAGCACCGGGGCACTGAGCTCTGTAGGGCCCAATCCCCCTTGGGCCACCGGCCCCTGCCACCCCCCTGGGATGTCACGAGCTCCATGGTGACCCCGGCAGAGCAGCCCTGCAGGAGGTGGTGGCCCTGCAGGTGACTCGGGTGGTGCCTCTGCTACCTCGGGTACACCAAGGACAGGCTGAGCGAGATGCTGCATCAGTGAGGTCATGCTGTATAATTACATGGGGCCAATAAATGTCAACCTCTTGACATCAGGAGCAGCAAAAGGAACATTTCTCCTGAATTTGCCTCCAGCCTTGCTAGTACATGGCTTGCTAGGGGCAGGTTCAACAGCAGTGCCTCCTGACACCCAGAGTGCCTGTTTTCGAAGCGGTCCTGGTGCTGAGCTGCAGTTAGCTGCTCTTTGTACTGAAACATCACATTCTCTTTTCTCTAAACACAATAAACTTTCAACGGAGGAACTGCAACATGAAATATCTTGTAGCTGATATTCAAAACATTGAATTTTGAGCTGATGGAGAAAGTCCTAAGCAGGTCAGACATTCCTTTTAAAATACAATCACTACATTTCAAATCATGCAAGGAAAAAGCAGATCCTCTCAGTTTTCCAGCTCTTGTTCTGTTAAAATGAAAAGTATGCTCCATTTCTGTTTGACTCTAATCTCTTCTTACCAGTAAATA